AAACTTCTTAAATTTTACCTGCTCAAGGTCAAGGACCCTGACCTCAGCCACAATCCCAAAGTTGCCTCTAAATGCTAACATTAACCCTGACCCTAATTTGTTTCCTGATTCCCAGTACTAGCTTTGACATTCTTCTCTTTCCTAGCAGACACCCATACTGGTCTAATTTTTACCTTTAGCACCAGCTCTCCTGGCTATAACCTTAAAGGTTGAGCCCTAAACCTAAAACTCATTTGTAATTTGATTGCTAAATCTCATTTTCAGTTTGTCCTTAATACTGACCATGACACGGTCTTTAATCCCTAAAACGGACTACTAATCTAATTCCTGTTGTTGACCCTTAACCCGACCTTGCACTCTTACAGTGGCCATTTCATAAAACAAAATAATGACCTTAATCTAAACCTCACCTACCCAAAACATACCTGACTCATAGGAATAACTGAAATTTTAGCCCCGTTTTATAACTTCTAAGCCAACCCCAACTAGTCCCAAACTCACCCAAAGCTTTCCTACCACATACCCACTATCAGCTAACACCAAAGCACATCGCCGCCCTGCGCCTCACTGCCACCCATTCCTCACCCTCCCCAAAACCTAGACCAGGCGGGGGACGGTTCCCAGGAAGGGCCTGCCTCCCGCAAGCCGGCCTACTTAACTCCGATACCTAGCTGAGACACACTGGACGTTGACCTCTCCCACTGAACCCGAAACACCACACGCAGGACAGTCGGGGGCCCCGCCCGTCCTCCCGCCTTCCGGGCCGGGCCCCGCGGCCCCACCCCGAGGTTCCAGTTCGCCCGGTCCGGCCTACCTGTGCTGCCGGGCTCTGTGCCCCACCCGCCGGCCCGCTAGCCGCTCGTAGTCCGGGTCGCTGTCGGGCTTCGGCCTCACCCTCCCTTCGACACTCTCCGCCACTTCCGTCCCGGGAACGTCCCCCACCCGCGGGCGGCGCCCTGGGCCCGCGCTCTATGGTTGCGGGGACTGCAGGAAGCTGCTCTGGCCCCAGCTCTCGATGCTCGGGAGCCCGCCGAAGACCGGCAGCCCCTCCCCGGCAGGAAGCAAGGGTGCGGCGCTACCGGAGAAAACACCCGAACTACGCCCGAGTTCCCTTTTAGACTCTTAACTCTTCCTTTTACTAGCTTGGGGTGAAGGCGTGGCCGGATCCCCGAATCCCCGCCCCAGGGTGTGAGGTAGCCGCGGGGACGTCCCCATCATTTGCATAGCCCCCGGGACGTGGCGCCACCCGGAGGCCACTTCCGAGTTGGAGAGAACTCCAAGTCCCAATATGCCATGGGGTTGGATGCGTCATTTATGTTGTGTTGGAGGCTGAGGAGCCCTGGAGTTGGGAGTCGGCTCAGGCTTGATAGCGACGGCTAGCCCCCAGCGGGGCAACCCAGCGGACGACCAGCGAGGTGGGGGAGATGGCCTGGGGTCCGGCCTAGAATCCGGGGTGGAGCCGCGTGGAGGGGTGTACCTTTAGTTTCTGCTTATCTTTCCCGTAGATGTCCCACATGGAGCTGGCCTTGGACCCTGGTGACCAGGACCTGCTGGGCTTTCTGCTAGAGGAGAGCGAAGATTTGGGGGCTGTGCGGGACGAAGTCGTGGAGGCTCAGCTGGACGGGAAGCTGCCGCCCTCCGAGGTGGATAGAGGTTCTGAGGGGGGAAGCTCGGGATATCTGTCAGCTCGGGAGTGGGGGGTGGAGATCAATCAAAGCCTGTTAATTTGTTAGGACTCCGTGCAATTACTGAGCGACTGGGAGGCAGAGGATTTACTGAGCTTTCTGCTGAGTCCCCCACAGTCCTTGGATGTTCTTGGATCCTCCGACTCTAGCCTTGTCCACCACGATCACACCTACTCCCTACCACAGGAGTATGTCACCGTCGATTTAGGTGAGTCTGAAATAAGCAGTTTTGGGGGAGGAGAGGGTTCATGGGTCTGATTATTCCTACTATCCCTTTTTGTAGATAGTGGGAGCTGTGGAAAGGAGGTCCAGATGACTCCACTGCATATGGAGGAGCCCACTGAGCAGGTACTTGACTTGGTTTTCATGAGGATTATTCCCACATTGCATGGGTGGGGCGGAGTTCCCCATTCCTTTCTGACATCGGCCTGCAACTCTGCTGCCCATTTCCCATAACCCTAGGAGATTGCTAGGCTGATACTGACAGAAGAGGAGAAAAGGCTATTGGAGAAGGAGGGGCTTACTCTGCCCAGGACACTTCCTCTCACTAAGGTAAGGCTTCCATTGGTGAAGCAAAGGCTGGATGCAAATTCTCAAGTAGGCAAATTCTGTGACAAAGTTAGCAAATCTCTTGCTAGTAGGAAACTGGGGCAGTTCCTGACTTTGGTGTTCTTTTTAAGAAAATATAAATTCAAAATTATCAGTGCAACATTAGTATACAGCCTTGGAAAGATCTGTCCAAGTGAAGGGCATTCTATTGACTTCATGGTAATCCACTTCTTACTCAGTTGTAAAGTGTCTTGAGTTCAACAGATGGGACCAAGCAATATAATAAGAACAAGGATAAAAATCCTGTTTTAGGTTGCAAGCAGTGAATGGCTACTTCATAGGCATAGTATTATGATACTATGAGGAAATCAATGTTCATTGGCAGAAAGGTTAAGGTCAGCAGTATGGTGTAGCTAGCAAAAAGTACATGGGATTTGGAAGCTATTGATAGAGGTGCTACAAGGGCATTGACTAATTTGCTCTCTTTTATACTAGTTGAAGCACATTTTAGAGTTCATCAATGATTTAAAAATTTGTTGAGGTTTTTTCCTTTTAAAATTTAGGCAATGTTAAAAGTGTCCTAAAATAGTTAATTAGGATTTGTTCTATTTGGCCCCAGAGACTAGGTAAGTCTGATGGACAGAAATTATAAGAAGCTGGGCACGGTGGTGCACTCCTCTAATCCAAGTGACTTGAGAGGCCGAGGCAGGAAGTTCACAATTTTGAGGCCAGCCTTGGCAATTCAGTAAGATCCTATCTCAAAAACTGGGGATGTATGTAGCTCAGTGGTAAAGTGCTCCTGGGTTCTATCCCCAATACTGCCCACCATGCCCCCCACCAAAAAAAAAAAAAAAAGAAAAAGAAAAATTGTAAGAAGACTGATGTTTGTTCAGAACAAAGTTTTTAAAAAATAAGCTTGTTTAAAATGTCCTGGCTTGTCAGAGGGTTAACACTGGTCCTTAGCATCCAGACAGAAGTAGAATGACTATTGGTGAGGGTAGCTGTAGAAGGGATTCCTACACTGGGAATATTGAACTTGGTTGCCTTCTTTGATCCAATACTCCTTTGATACTCTCTCCCATCTTCTCTCAGATGGAAGAACAAGTTCTGAAACGAGTGAGGAGGAAGATTCGAAACAAGAGGTCTGCTCAAGAGAGCCGTAGGAAGAAGAAGGTGTATGTGGGGGGTTTAGAGAACAGGTATGAAAGGGAGAAGGAATAGAATAGTTGTGTTAAGGTTTTAAAGGGAGGATACGGCCATATTCCCATATTCCTTTTATCCTCCAGGGTCTTGAAATACACAGCCCAGAATCTGGAGCTACAGAACAAAGTACAACTTCTGGAGGAACAGAATTTGTGAGCAACCTCCCAGATAATTTCTCCCAAACCCGCCACTTAATGTTGTCTCTTCCCTATTATCCTACACTTGATTTGTAGGGGCAGCTCCTCAAATGCAGGGTCTGGTCATTGGCCTTTACTCTGTCTATGATTACAAGAAGTTCCCAATGATGGGAATAAATTTACAAGTATCTAAGGATAAGTTAAGTACCTGGAAAGTGGAAGTAAGTTAAAGACCTCATAGGGCAGTAGTAGCTGAATGCAGAGAGGACTGTGAGGAGGGATGGATAGAGAAAGCATTCTAGGCAGAGAGAACACAACAGTCAGGTTTGGCTAGAAGGCACATTGGGTTACAAGGTAGAGAACACAGAGTACCTGGTGAGAATTATGTGCACTGCTGACCAGGCACTGACGAACTATTGAAGGTATTAATTTCAGTCAGGGAAGTGTTTTGTTTGTTTTAATGAGGGACTCAGTATTTTGTTCAGAGAAGTCATCTGCAAAAATAGGACAAAATAATAAGAGGATTCAGGGCAGAGGGAGGAGGTGGGCATAACAGAGGTTTTCACTGTGGCTTAGGATGCCAGCAAGGAGTATTCAATACAGTACCCTCTTCTAGGTCCCTTCTAGATCAGTTGAGGAAACTCCAGGCCATGGTGATCGAGATATCAAACAAAACCACCAGCAGCAGCACCCGTGTCCTGGTGAGGATGGTGTTGGGAGGGGGGATTCCTCAGGGGTGGAGACAGGAGTATAATTCAGATCCCTTTATCCCCTTTTTTCTATGCTCCAGGTCCTACTATTCTCCTTCTGCCTTCTCCTTGTGCCTGCTATGTACTCCTCAGACACAAGGGGGAGCCTGCCGGCTGAACATGTTGGTAAGAGGATTAAGGATCTTTCAGGCACTGACGAGAGGCTTAGACTCCTTCTGTGTTGTTTCCTAATAGTTCTTGTCTTCTCAGTGTTCCGCCAGCTTCGTGCCCTCCCCAGTAGGGACCTGCACCAGCTGGAGCTACCTGCGCAGCAGTCAGACGTACAAAAGGACAACACGAACCAGATACTGGACAGCTCAGAACATACACTCCAGGCCCCTGGCAACTTTTCCTGCCTGCAGTATCACATGCCTCAGGCTTCTCAGGAAGAGTCTTCTCTGCAGTGGCCACTCCCCAATCTCTTCTCAGAGCCCCTCTGCCCGGGTCCCACTCTTCCCCTGCAGGCAAATCTCACAGGAAAGGGGGGATGCCTCCCTACCCACAGCCCATCACCTGTCATCTTGCAGGACAGATACTCAGGTTAAATGTGAGAATATAGATGTTTCAGCAAAAGCCCACCCACCCTGCTGTCTGTCCAAATAAAAAAATAGGAGAGGGTTGGCTTTCACTCTTGTGCCCTGCTAGGATGCCTACAGGCTCAAACACACAACACTTACTGGCTTTGTGGGTCTTTTATTTGTACCCATGTGTGTCTATTATCCCATGAATGGATCTGGGGAAATCAACTGACCACCTCAAATATTTCATGCAGTGAGGGAAAGGGTAAGGAAATAAATAAGTGATTCTGATGCATGGTTCACCCTCAGCCCCTCTTTACTGGCACAGCAGGGTGGGGAAAAGGGGAAGGCATGATTGTCCTGGTGGCTCAGGGATGCAGGAGGTTTGGGGTAAGGAGCATCAACCAGGCTGGAGGCTGGCTCCCACAGTTCAGAGGGCTCACTCTGGGTTTAGATTTGCCAAGGCTTCCTTTGGTCCACATTTAGGCCCTGTTCTTGGTCCTGTGCCCTGTTCAACTACTGGCCTGGAAGCCTTTTTATGCTGCTGCTGTTGTAGGGCCAGCTGCATGGCCCAGATGCTTAGTGGCCGCATGTAGGCCAGTGAACGGAATACCCGCTGCTGGCAATATGCTTCCGGGGTCTGGAAAGCCAGGCCCAGGCGTTCCCACACAGTACGGTAGCAGCCTTCAGCTGTCTGGAAGCCCTCCCAAGTCAGGCCCTGTGGGGAGAGATGAAAGTTACATATATAACTTAGCACTCCCAGTGTTACCACTTTCGGGGACAGAGAAGTAAGGTCTCTGCCCTCAGGGAACACCCAGCTATCAGGGAGATAAAACTTAACCCACAGGCAAAAATGTAAAGGCAGTGGGTGGAACACATGCCAAAGAAAAGGGGGAGGCTTTATGGACCCATGATGTGGCACTGGGTTATGCCTTGATGTCTGGTGGATTATCAAGTTTTCTGGGCCACAGTACAGATGGTAGAGAAGAGAAGGAGTGCATTACATTACCTCTTGGATCATGGTGGCTGCCAGCCCATAGACTACACCCACCCAGACTTCATCAGACTGCACACTGGATCTATCGGGGACACCATGGGGCTGCATCCCATTCACAGCCCCCATGGCCCCTCCTGCAAAAGCCTGGACGTTGAGCTCAAAGATGGTTTGGAGAGCACGAACCACATGGGGGGTAGGAAATACCTGGAGGGTCAAGGGCAAAGGCATGGACATGGTTTGTTACACTTGCTTCCCGTATATTGGGGACAATCCACCTTTTTCTCTGGTTCTTCCTTTTAGTGTCTCTCACCTCAGTGTCGCCTTCTCCTAGGCCACAGGCCCTCAGGAACCACTGTCCAGCACATTGATCAGACATGATACTACGAGACTGAGGCTGAGAGCTGCTATCATAGTTGTAATAGCGGCCTGGAGTAGAGGAAAGGTAAAATAAGCATCCTGGGCCCCTGCAGCTACCTTAAGACTCCTCAGGTTGTCCCAACTCACCATTCCATAGCAGTCTCTCATAGGCTTCTTGGCCCCGGCTGAGGATGGAGGAAAACTTATCCTGGACCTCTTGTGCCCCACATAGAAGAGCCATCTGGACCATCACAGCCACAGCTGCCAGCCATAGCCCTCCACAGTAAGCACTGATCAGGGACAGGAGTTTGGGGGTTCAGACTGGCAACTCAAGCTACCCTCATGTAATCTAACAGTCGTTCTTTCTTAAGCCTTCCCCATCTCTTGGTGCCCAATTCCCCATCTCTAGCCTCCTGGAAACTCCTGCCCGCTCCCTGCCTCTAACCTGGGGCCTGTGGTGACCCATCCATCGTAAGTCTGGTCTGCATAGCCTCCATTTTCAATGAGTCCATCATGGTCCTTGTCAAACTTCATTTCAGACTCCATCACAGCCTAGAGAAAGACGAAGAAACGGAAGACCTAGGTGCTAAGAAAAGATAATAGCTGGGCTCTCCCCAGAGCTAGTCATGCCTGACACACTGGCTACTGCACATGCATCCCTTACCAAACACACAGGCCACATGTCCTTTAAGAAGCCTTGGTCACCCGTCAGGTAATAGTCTCGATAAACCTGCAGCACAAACTTCAGGTTCAGGTCCTTCCAGTCAGCAGTATCATGGATCAAATATGCATTGACTCGGAGCCATGGCTCATCATCTGCGAGAAGAAAGAGGACCTGATTCATTTGCATTGGTGGACAAAGTGAAGGGTATAAAAAGTTGAAGAAGAGCATTTGAACTTGGGGTGGAGGGATCTTTACCTGGGTCCCCAATATCATGGGGGATGACATTCTTCCTTTTCACAGGTGCTATTACTCCACTCATCAGATATCGTCGCCGTGTCAGGTCCTCCCTGAGAGTTGCCAGAGCTGGAGAAGCAGACATACAAGTGGGAGGGGAAAAGCATGGAATGGGCAGGCTTGGGATGGGGCACAGAGCTATGTATGACACCCCAGAGGGGAAATGAATAGGATACAGATATGTTTGGAGAACAGTGGAAGAAGAGATAATCTGAGGGACCATAAACGTTCAGGAATATAGGAAGCTAAGGGGAAAGATATAAAACAACACAAAAGTTACCCTCACCCATGTCATACTGTAGGCTTAGCTCGAGTTTGGGCCAGAGCATAACGAGGGCAAAGGAGGCATAAAAATGTACATCATATGTGTTGTACATGCGATACTCCTGGCCTAGAGGAATGAGGAAAGATACATTGTTGCCAGAATTCCTGCTATCCCTTCATAGCTCCCTCCCCACATCTTCCAAAGTTGGAGGCAGAGCATTGCCTGTGATCAGTTCATGGTCACCACTGACCCCCTCATCCCATCAATACCCTGGACGGTAAAAACCATCATCTGGCTTTGTGATAGGTCGCTAACTGACCTGAGGGGTATGACCTGCCAAATCCCACAAGTAGTCCATACCCTCTAGATAGCCAAATCGACCATAGTCCCGCAGAACGGGGCGGAGCCAACACATGCTTCCTCCCAGCTCTTCTGGTAGGGAGTCCTCAGGAACTTCCAGCCATACTGTGCCTCCATCAGCAAGGAAGTATAGTTCATTGAACAGTGCAGATTTGTACCAGGCAGGCAAGGATCTGGGAAGTCAGAAGGAGGCAATGGTTTCATGAGTGTGGACCACCAAGGATAGAAAGGATTCTGGTGTTCAACATAGTGGAAATTTGGTGGGTAGCCAATGAATCAGAGTCCCATTTGGAAGGGCATGCCCAGAAAAGAGGAAAGAGAAGGCTCCTCTGGCACCTGTCATCTAATACCGGGCTCTGCCAAGCTGAGATCCTGTCTTCCCAGTCTGCATATCGGCATAGTGCATAGTGGCTAAGAGCAGGTGCTGCATCACCATCTAGGCCAAAGAATCTTGTATACCGCCTGTGATAGAAAGAAACGGAAGGGATGAGAACACCTGTTCCAGGTCAGAGTTCTAGAGTCTTGGATCATTAAAGGTTCTTGGTCCCCACACCTGTAGTGGACTTGGCCTTTAGCTCCAAACATGATCCTGGGCATGTCCCAAGCCAGTGAAAACTCCAGGCGGCACTGGCCTCGAGGTGGCAGCTTGCCCGAAACACATACTGCCCCAGCAACGCCTTCTCCTTTCTGTGAGGGGGTGCTTTGGCCTGAGAATCACAAGACAAATAAGCAAAGGCACCCCCTCCAACACCAGGGCTGGGGTCCCTAACATGAGAACAAGGCCTGTTTATTATCAGGTCTCCCACCCCTGGTCCTTAAGACAGGTACAGTCTTTCTTCCCAACCCTCCCAGTCAGACCCCCCATCACCAGCAGGGGAGTCCAGTTGTCCATCCTGAAGTAGGTCCTGCCACACCTGCTGCCCAGTACTGTCAGGGTCGAAGGCTGTGATATGGGTTACTGTGGTATCTGCCTGTTAAGGAGCCAAAAACTCTGTGAGGACAAGCTCCACAAGTATGCTGGATTCTGACTCGCTGTCCAGCTCCTCTTACATACTATCGCCTCCAAGTTCCAGAGGCTGAAGGACTCTGATGAAGGTGGGACTTAGGGGTTGAAGAAATGAAGAGAGCATGATGTACTCGGGGTGGGTCTAGAGTTAGGTTAAGGGTAGGGGCTAAGGTAAAGGGCAGGCTCTTCCATTACCGTGAGTCGTGCAGCCACAGCCATGGTGTAAGGATTTGGAAGGGTTGGGTGATGCAGCAGTAGTCCCTGTACAGTCTTCCCATCTTGCTCCAGACAGAAGGGCTCATTCCACAAACCCCCTGGGGCATCGTCTTCACCCCCTAGTCCATTCCGCATGGAGAACATGATGGACACATCCATAGCTTCATCCCCTTCATTTTCCACATCCCATACAAAGACTCCTACAGGTAGGCTGCTGTCCTGGGGACAAAAAAATTGGACTCACACGGTCTCATTGTAGCCCTTTCTGGTCTCAGTCCCCAGGATTATTCCTGGGCAAGAAGGACCTGTCTCATATATCCCCAATGTACTCTTGTCTTCCACTTGCATCTCCCCATATTTCCAGGCAGGCTGCCTTCCAGAGTACATAGAAGACAAGGTGTGTGATGTTCATGGCTCCAACCCCTCCCTTTCACAGGTCATGGAATTTTCAGCAGAGGTGGACCTGGGGGAGGGAGGGCAATGGAGGAAACAGAAAGAGAGCCTCACCTGGTAGTCATGGGGCAAGATGGGTGTGATCTGACGGCAGGTGAGGGTGACATTCTGGCCAGGAAGCTGATAGACAGTCCAGGCTCGGGGATAGAGGGCGTGGTAGAAAGCAAAGTACCCACACAATCCCCAGTTCCAGCTGCGCAGGACACTTGGACGCTCCAGGGACAGAACTTGCTGGTATACAGTCTGCCCCTCCCGACGCAAGCACACTGTGAACTTGATCAAGAGGGCAGATAGGCTGGAACAGGGCAACCCACAGGTACCACACACTAGTCTTCCTCCCCTTGGAGCAGTTCCTCCCCTCCCAGAGCCTGGATCCTCACAGCTGTACCACCAGCCTCAGTTCATCCCCCAGGCCTTCCCCTAAGCTCAGTAAGCCACCAAGTCCTGCTGCCTCCCCCATTATCTAGCTCCCAGGTTTCCTCTTTCCTTTCTACTACTATGGTCTCCACACCCTGATCTAAGTCTACAGTCTATGCCACTTCTTATCTGGGTAGCAGAGTGATCTTTCTTACAAACAAATCAATAATGTTAGTCTCTGCTTTTAATGTTTCATTGACTCCTATGGTGTAATGCTAAAGTTTAGATTCTTTTTGCCCTTTGTTAGTACTGGAATTGATCTAGGGATGCTCTGGGACTTTTATTTTTTAATTTTATGATAGTGCCTCCCTAAATTGCCCAGGCTGGCCTAGAACTTGTGATCTTCCTGCCTCAGCCTCCCATGTAGCTGGGATTACAGCTGTGTACCACTGCACCTGGCTGAAGTCTAAATTCTCTTACCTGGCTTCCAAAGCCCTTCTTAATCTGGTCTCTACCTCTTTAAACACTTATATTCTGGTTACATAAAATACTTCCTGTTCCTTGAGCACACTACATTTCCTCCTCCATGGATCTGTTCATGTTCATTCTCCATCTAGTAACTCCTCCTGAACCTTCAAGGGCCAGGTCAGATGCTATCTCTTCTTCCTCCAGTAGTGAGTCATTCCATGTGTCCCTCTGTTGTAGCATTTGTGTATTATGTCAAAATGTATTTAATTGCCATTCTATTTCCCTGATTGCTCTATTGGTTCTTTTGAGACTCTTCTAGTTCACTAATGTGGCCCTCTGCAGAGCTGGCATGTGTGTAAAGCGAATGAGCAAGTCTGTACCATACAAAGTCCCTTTTCTTAGTATACTATCTATCCTCACCTCACAGTCTCCCGTTTTCTCTAAGTTCTATTTCCCCAACAAAAATTCAAGCTGCTAGGGCTGGGGATATAGCTCAGTGGTATAGTGCTTGCCTATGTGTAAGGCCCACCACACACATAAACATATACATTCTTTCTCTCTCTCTCTCTCTCTCTCTCTCTCTCTCTCTCTCTCTCTCTCTCTCTCTCTCACACACACACACACACACACACACACACACACCTCCTGGAGAGTAGGAGTTATGAGAGATTAATAGCTCTTCTCTTGGTTCAAACTATACCTGGTATTTTTACTGTACAGAAAATAATTTTTCATGTTCTTGGAACAGTACATAATGGTTAAAACCACAGGTATTTTATCATAGAAAAAACTGGTTCTAAATCCCAATCTTTCCTTTTACCACTCATGTGACCTTGGATGTAATACAGCCCTCTCTGGCTCTTAGTATCCCCATCTATAAAATAAGCATAGGATTGTTTTTAATATTAAATATATAAGAAGTCTAGCACAGGGACTAAACATATTAAGCATGCAATAATTACTTTAACTGTAGAGTCATGATTCCAGAAGGCATTCACTTGGGATACCTAAAGGATGAGGCAGAGGGGGGATCTTGGGGCATTGGGTGGGGCTAATAAACTTGAATTAAGAAGGGCACTGTCATCAATGGGACTAAGATCTGTCAGTCATTTCTCCTTCGAAGATGAGCTGAAAGCAGGAGGCATTCCTCAAACAGGGAAGAGGAACAGAGGAACTTGGTAGATAAATAATAAAAAGGTAGGCCATTAGAAAGATATGATGAAAGGCAGGCCATATATCTCTGGCAACTTAAGACCCAAAGGCAATGTAGAAGCAGAAGGGGACAAGAAGTTTCAGAAAAGGAAAAAAGGCTAGAGAAAGTTGTGGGGGCCCTAGCCACAGAGACCTGTGATTCACACAAAGAAGTTGACCTCCAGCTGAAGGTTGAACTATGATCTTTTTTTCTCCTTGACTTTGGAGACTTGGTTTTCATTTTCCTTTTTTTTTTTTTGGTGGTGGTGCTGGGGATTGAACCCAGGGCTCTGTGCATGCTACGCAAGCACTCACCCAACTGAGCTATATTCCTAGCCCCTTAATTTTCCTTTCTAATCCTACCAAATGTTCTTTCAGCCAGGTTCAGTGAGCTGGGAACTCTCTGTACTCCTTGTAGTGGGTTCTGGCTCAGCTAGTAGAATTGGGGCCACAAGGTAGATAGGAGGCATTTAATACAGAAATGCCAGGGCTGTTTTCTTGTTCAAGAAATGTGTGCCATGCGTGTCTTATTCCCATTGCATATCCTAGGGCACACGAAAAGCATCTTAAAAGTCTTTCTTGGATTGAATCCTATCTACATTTAACTATCCCACCCTAGTCAAGAGGCCCTTCTTTGAGACTTTCCTCTGCCTCTTGGCTCTTACTTGGTCAGCAATGACTGTCTGGTGCTGGTACATTCCAGGGTTAAGCTGCCAACGACAGAACTGGCCTCTCCAGCCACGGGTGATAGTGCCTCCCCCGATGCCACCCAAGGGACAACCTAGAGAGAGAAACATGATGGTTAGTGGGGTAAGGGGAGAAGAAAACAGTGCCTTTCTCACTTTGTGGACTTTAAAAACCACTTCCTCTAAAAACCTAGGGAATGGGGCAGTGCAATTTGCATAAACTGGAAGCCTCTTTGCCTAACTCTATAGTGGACCTGAATGCTACAACCTTTCTAAGCAGGGCAGAAGTGGGGTGAGGCTCACCATAGATCTGCCTCAGGGGTACACAATTGAACATGTCGATAAAAGGTGTCTTCTTCTCTACCTGGGTCTTCCGGTACCACCACTTTAAGTACCTGAGGAGCAAGAGGTAGTGAGTACAGGGGTGGATAGGCAGTTCTTCACAGGCTACAATCACTTGCCTTTCAACATCCAGCAGTGACCTCCCATTAAATGTACCAAGGCATCATCACCTTGTCTTGATTATTCTACAGTTCAAGGCCCCTTCATTTTCCCAGTTGCCCCAGCCATTAGTGTAGGATAGCCTTTGTTTCTCCTCTTTATTCTCTGCAAAAGGGGCTTTCCGATCTTTCCTTTCCTCTCCAATTCTACTACTATTGCTTTAGTTCAAACCTTAGGAGCTTTTGTGTGAGATGTTGAAAGGGTCAGTTATACTTCCCTGTCCACCCACTCTACCACCCACTCCCTATCTCCCAAACAGGTACAGGCTGCCAAGATAACTTTCTTCTTTTAAAAATGATTATTTTTCTTTTTGATTATGAAAAATGAAAATCTGGAAATACACTAGAAAGAGAAAAATATCTCACCCAAAGAGAACCAATATTTTTGTATCCAGCCATTTCCTTGTAAGTCTTCCTTTTTAAGTTCAGCATTTAAACTATAAGCTTTCAGATTTTGCTCTTTTATAATATTCCAGTAAAGTTTTCTAAAAATCCCAACAATTTCCTGGTCTTGTTCCCACTTTATAGCCAATAGACAAATGACTAAGGCTATCTCCAATAGGTAAATCATTCCATTTCAAGGCGAAGAAAGCCCCAGCCTGCCTTTAATCTTATTTCCTACAAATTCTTATTCAGGATGGATCTGCACTAAGCATTCCCTGCCCTGCCTGACTCTTTTCCACTTCTACTCTCTTCTCTGGCCCAATGATTTTATACCTGATGTCCAGTGACACCACTTCTAACCAAGTAATTAGGTAAGTATACCCTAAAGCCTGTTCCCTCCATCTATAAAATGGGCATACCTCCTGCCCTAGCTATCTCAGAGAGTAAATGAAATATCAAATGACATGACAGATAAGAAAGCCATAAAGTGGAATACCTGTGACAGGTATGCTTATTGTTATTTAAATGTTCTCCATGTGAGCCTGACAAATTTTTAAGTTTCTTGGGGAAAGGGTTAGTGACAAAGACTAATTCAGTGTTACTCTCAGCTCTAAGTACAGGGCAGGGCACATGGTCTGCAATCCATAAATGGTTGCTTACAAATGAATGTACAAACAATGGGACACAATAGATTTGAGCTAGGGGAGGAGAAATGTGATTAAGGAACAGGGGGCAGTACATTATGGAGGCAGGGAGAACAGCTCTGAGGATGAAGGATGAGATGTGGGGAGGCAGAGGTCTTCTTTGCTAGCTTAGAGGAAACTAGAGTTTGGCACTAGAGGCCAGAAGGGATTGGTGGAAGGAAGGTTGGTGCAGCTGTGATTAGGACAGCCATGGAAAAGAAATGAAAGATATGAAGATAAGAAGAACAAAGGACTATTTGGCATAGAATAATCACTTGATAAATATTTACTGCATGAATGGATTCTGGTTGAAGGGAGTCATCAAAATTGAGCTCCCACCAAGCCCAGGCCCAGAGAACTCCATCTTGCTGTAGCTCCTGATGAGAGTTCCTCCAGTTGGGCTCCCTCTTAGCTTTCGCATTCCCCTAATTTAGCGGCTGGCCTTCTCCATAATTTCTGCCCTAACTCAAAAATTATCATTCCAAATTTTTCTTTGTCTCACTCCTGCTTTCTTTTCAATGAAGACTATTCTCTCATTCTAGAAGTTCTGTGTTAATGGCTCCTATCCTATCCTGGGATGGACAGCCAGGGTCCAGAGGACTGAGCAAAACTTCAGGTCTCTGATTCAGCTCATATTTAGGGATAAGAGGGGGGCTAGAATGCTCAGATGTTTTTTACCTCATGGTCCCCAACACATGCAACCCACTGTTCTTGTCTCAGTACCCTAGATCCCATTTTGACCCAAAGGTTTTTAAGGTCAAATTTGGACTGGATCAGTTTCAGAAGCAGCCTGGAGGGATGATTCTTCTGTGGTACAGGACACTGCAGGCACTAACAGAGGAGTCAGATGTCTAGGCAGCACCAGGTCCTTCCCATAGTCCAGGACTGGGCTTAGGTAAGTGACCTCCCCACCACAACCCTTAACACTGGGGAAGTGAAGGATCTCCTGCTTTAGAAGTTATCAGGACTCAGTTTCTCAACATATATACCTCCCTCCCCAGCTCTGTGTTTACTGTGTGGGACTGACTCAGGATGACCTCAGGGTGATGCTTTCTGACCTCACATCCACCTGTTCCTGTTAACAAGTATGGTTTCTCATCATAGTCTTTGAACTCAGTGGGAACCCAGAGGGTTTCTACAGCCCAAATAAGCTCTGTGGGTGTCTATAATCTTGAGGTAGGGGAGAAGCCAGGGCACCCTCTGGAAGACTATTACTAAGACCTCTGGGGACATCCATAGCAGCACCTCTCTGATCAGAAGGCATCTTTGCGGAGCTAGGGGTGAAGTTCAGTGGCAGAGCACTTGCATGCAATCTACCACTGAGTTGTATCCCCAGCCTACTACTCCCCCCACCCCCACTTTTGACACAGGTTTCAGTATGTTGCCCAGGCTGGCTCTGAACTCCTGGGCTCAAGCAGTCCTCCTACTTCCACCTCCCAAATAGCTGGGATTACAAGTGCATACCAGTGTGCCCAGCTCCCTGTCTTTGCTTTTTATATAAGCTGTCTGATATAATAGAGAATAGAGTGAAGTTCTCATTACCCTCTCCTTGGGGATGACAACAGGCAGGCTCTCACCTACTCACTGGAGCTAAACTTTGAGGAAAAGAAACCAGACCCAGACAAGTGTTGGAAGTGTAATACTGTCTGCTTAAAGATGATACAGAGAATGCTCCAGCTGCTCAGAGTAATCTGGGGTTGAAAACTTCCCCCTTCCAAATAAAACAATGTGTCAGTGCAACAGCAGTCCTACCATTCTCTCCTACCTTGACACAAAGTCTAGCTAATCCCAAAGGGAAGTCTTTGGGAAAGAGGGAGTAAATGACAGGGAACAGGACCAAAAGTTCCTACCTTTTCCTGCTAAAAGGACAAGGGAGGAAGATGGTTGCAAAGAGATATGACTTGGTCTCACCCTCCAAAATCACAAGCCTAAGATATTCTGGAACAAGGGCCACTTGAATGGGATCAGGAGCTCATTTGCTTTTCCACCCTTTCCCACTTCTGATGGAAGTCTTGAAATGGAACAAAGTAAGGCATTCTAGACAATAGGATCTACTCACCTCAAGCCCATGCCCAAATGCTTTACCAGGTTGCTTAGGGAGATGTTGTTAGCTTGAAAGGGTTTCCTCTTCTCTGCAAACTCGTGTGCCAGGCAGATGCGCCAGCCAAAAGGAGGCACCTGGTACCCCCTAGCTTTTCCCTCATAGGACGCCATCAGCTGCCCAGAGTCCTCCGGACTGCAGTAGCCTGGTTCATTTTGACGTCGACTTTCCTCAGGGTTCTCGAAACCTGTAACCTGCACAGACTCCGAGCTCTCAACAGCTTCTGGGCGATAGAGCTGGGAATCCCCTTTGGCGCTGCTAATCTGCTCCAAGGCTGGGACGCCGGTTTCCATGTTCCCTGGATCCTGGGTGCCCACAACCTCTGACACAATGTATGGCCCCGGGTCCCGAGACCTCTGACACAAAGTATATCGCCAAGCCAAGTGCAGACGCGGGCGCCGGTAGTAGTTAGGTGCCGTCCGGGAGGGCTGGACGCTGGGGAAAACTGGGGTGAGCTGGAGGCTTCGTAGAAGCGGGGAGTTCTTGTTGCAGCGGTGGCGACGACAGCAATAATGCTGCCTCGGAATCCCTTTCGATAGTGTCTCTAGGTCCTGGGCGGGAAGGGTCGGGCCTCGCCTTCATTGGGCCGTGGTGATTAGCTCGTCTGGCCAAAGGCCGACACGGCCCGCGGAGAGGGGCGGAGCCGTGGGACCGGCCCACAAGGCACCGCCCCGGGACCAGCCCGTACAGTCCCGCCCCCGGAGCCGGCCCGGGAGCTCACGGCGGCCTCGGCCCCGCCCCGGGGCCACGGCACCAGGCCCCCCAGGGTTGACCGCCGGGTCCGGCCCGCGGGGGTCCGGGACAACGCCCGCACCCAGGTGCCAGCCCGTGGAATGGTGACCCCGGGCGCCTGGAGGACCCGAGCTTCTTCCGGTCCGGACAGCCGGGTGCTTCCGGCCGGAAGGGGCTCCCTGAGCGGGGCGGGGGGGATCTGAAAGGAAGTCCCGCCTCTGCCGTGCCACCTACGCCGCGGACGCCGCCGCGTACCTGGCCGGGTCCCAGAGGGGCCCGGGCAGGTGAGGACCTTGGTGTCCTCAGACCCTGGTTTTGGACCGTGCGAGGTGACAGGCGGCGGTGGTCTTGGGCTGGGACGTGAAGTCTTGAGGGAAGTGGGGTGTGGAGGCCAGCCTGTGATGGGGGGACTAAGCCGGAGCTAAAGGGAGCCGGGGTCTGGGGACCAGAACGACGCCTTCCCCCTAGGCAGTACAGGGTCAGCAGCCCCGTGACCCTCGTGTCCTGCCAGCTACCCAAATCCTGGCATTTTCCTGTGGTACCGAGGTGTTGACCACCAGTCCTCTGACACTTGTAAGAAAAACCCCACATATTGGTCTCTGGGACTCAGTTCTAGACATATCCCTAGGTTCAGGCTCCCTCCCTGTCATGTTACTGACCTCTGATCTCCCATGTTTCCTTCTAGATCTGAATCCAGAGCTGCCATGATTGAAGTGGTAGCTGAGTTGAGCCGAGGTCCTGTATTTCTGGCGGGGGAGGCACTGGAGTGTGTGGTAACCGTCACCAACCCCTTACCCCCTACAGCCACTTCTGCATCCAGGTGAGAATGCTCCTGCTGAAGGTGGTGGCCCTTCTGGGAGGAAGCTTGGTATCTCTGGTGCTATGCCAGAGATCAGGTTGTCCAGTAGCTATACCACCAACTTCTTGCTCATTGTGTTCTCATTGTAGGAAAGGGCTATTTAACAGAAGGGGTGGATGACATAGCCCTCCACTCTCCTCCTCCCTTCCCTAGCCCTCCCCATTTCCCTTTGTACTCACAGTATACTTTAATGTAATGGTTTCTCTTTGGGGGTTCCAAATTTCCTGATCACTAGAATAGCCTTCTAACCTTGTTGGTCTCATCAGACAATGTGGTAGTCAGTTTGGGAAAGCATTGTGAGGTCAGGAATTACCCTCTGAAGTCTCCTTTTCCTCTTTCTACAGTGAGGCTCTGGCTTGGGCCAGTGCCCAGATCCACTGCCAGTTCCATGCCAGTGAGAGTCGAGTAGCACTGCCTCCCCCTGATTCTAGTCAGCCAGATGTCCAGCCTGACAGCCAGACTGTGTTTCTGCCACACCGAGGTTAGAGATGGGGCATTTGCCTGGGGTTCAGGGGGGCATTGGAGTCATTGTCACCCAGTGTGATTTTAAGTTGTTCTCGTGTGTTACAGTCCGTGTCACACTGGGGATGTAGAGGAAGGTAGCTGGTGCTTTGTGGTGTAAGATTCTGTCCCATATCACAACAGGAAAAGAGGTGGCAGCCTTTCACTGCCTCCACTTGCTCTACTAGCCTTGTCTGACATTGGACAGTGGAGTCATTAAATTGCAGTCTTTCCTGACTTTTATAGGTGAGAGAGGTCAGTGTATCCTTTCTACTCCACCAAAAATTCTATTTTGTGACCTGAGGCTAGACCCTGGAGAGTCCAAATCATGTGAGTGACTGTCCCTAGCCCTGGATTGCCTTCTAAGTCTCCTGGAGGGAGGACTCCTCTGGCTGCCTCTAGCTGCCCTGACTACTGCTTCCCAACCAGACTCCTACAGTGAAGTGCTGCCCATTGAGGGACCACCCTCCTTTCGGGGTCAGTCGGTCAAGTACGTCTACAAACTGACTATTGGCTGCCAGCGTGTCAACTCACCCATCACTTTACTTAGGGTCCCTTTGAGGGTTCTTGTACTGACTGGTAAGTAAGGGTGCCTGGAGGGAAGGGCTGGAGTAGAGCATTGCCAAAGCAGAAATAATCTAAGAGGGCTTGCAAGCTTTCTTAGGGATGGTGCTAGGGAATTGGGGAAGGAGGGAGCGTTCTGGAGATTATGTCAAGATGTTGACCTCATCCAAGGCTTTCCTTACTTGCACTTCTCTCAGGTTGGAGTCTAAACTCAAATCTCTATTTTCATCTGTTCCCTCCTAGCATTACCTCTTCACTTTTTCTTTCTCTAGGCCTTCAAGATGTCCGGTTTCCCCAGGATGAGGCTGTAGCCCCATCTAGTCCATTTTTAGAGGAGGATGAGGGTGGCAAGAAGGACTCATGGCTTGCTGAGCTGGCTGGGGAGCGTCTCATGGCTGCCACATCCTGCCGTAGCCTCCGTGAGAATCCTTTCAGAATTGTTCCACCCCATTCCTCCTTGCAAATTATTCCCATATGAAAGACAGTCTCCTAACCACCACATGTTTTTGTGGATGATCTGATTATCTCACCCCGGATTATAAAGATAAGTCCCACCTGTTGGCCTCTGGAACACAGTGCTCGACATCCCCCAGTGTAGACTCCAGGCTTATAGTGTTTCGTTCTCCCCAGATCTGTACAATATCAGTGATGGTCGAGGGAAAGTTGGGACATTTGGCATCTTCAAATCTGTGTACAGACTTGGCGAGGACGTGGTGGGAACCTTAAACTTAGGGGAAGGAACTGTAGCTTGTTTGCAGGTAAGAAGGGAGACCGGGGTGTTGGGCTTAAAGGGCTGTGGTAGAAGGAGGCCCTACAGAGAGAGGGGTGGTATGTAGAAGTGGACAGTGGGATCACCTAGGGTGCCTTTGGTAAAACATTTTGAGATTGGGCTACTCTGTCACTTATGTCTGCTTTTATAAATGCCTGCTTGCATGTAACTCTCTTTTTGCTCCTAGTTTTCAGTAAGCTTACAGACAGAGGAACGGGTACAGCCTGAATACCAGCGGCGCCGGGGGACAGGGGGTGCTCCCTCTGTGTCCCATGTGACTCATGCCCGGCACCAGGAGTCCTGCTTACATACTACCAGAACCAGCTTCTCTCTCCCCATCCCTCTCAGCTCTACCCCAGGCTTCTGCACTGCCATTGGTAAGACACTGACCAATATTGGAGAAGGGAGAATAAAATTCTGTGTTAGGTAGAGTGTAATGGGTCTTGATTGCTAACACATTTCCCCATATACCTAAGTTCATCCGTGACCCTTAATGTTTTCTCAGAGCTTTAATCTCTACCTCTGTTTTTGGATGCATAGAACCCTAAACTCTTCAGCAGCTTTGTAGAATTCCTTCCCCACTCCAACCTCCTGGGCCTCTGTGATGCACTGATCTCTAATTCTTCAGAACATTTACTTCAATCTATGTAGTCCTGACTGTCCCACTCTTAGGTTATTAGGTAGTTGATACTGCTCTCCTTAACAGATTTCTTCAAAAAATGCCCTTAATCAGAATTCCTTGTGACTTTCCTTTTCCTGAATACAAATTTTGTTTTGTATTGTTTCTCATTCACTAACCACATCCTGCTGTTGGCTTTTACTCCTGCTGGCTTCTAATGCCTCTATCTCTCTTTTTTCCCATAGTGTCCCTGAAGTGGCGACTGCATTTTGAATTTGTAACATCCCGAGAACCAGGATTGGTACTCTTGCCCCCTGTGGAACAACCTGAACCTGCTACCTGGACAGGTCCTGAGCAAGTGCCTGTAGACACCTTCAGCTGGGATCTTCCCATCAAGGTGCTGCCTACAAGCCCCACCCTGGCCTCATATGCTGCTCCAGGCCCCAGCACCAGCACCATAACCATCTGAAACTGGCCCATCTACCTACCATGACACTAGCTTCTTCAAGATTCTGAGAACTTAGCATGTGGACTCTAGCTGGAATCCACTTTTTCCACCTAGGACCTAATAGCACAGACAATTGAGAGGCAGTCTGGGCTGGGAGTGTAGCTCAGTGGTAGAGCATTTGTCTAGCATGTGCAAGGCCCTGGGTTCAATCCCAGTACGGACGAGGGGGGGGATTATATATATAATATATATAAAGAGAGAGAGAGAAAGAGGCAGGCTTTCAGCTATAGCATTAATTTATTTATTCAGAATAAAGTGGCAGCTGCTAGTGGTTTCCCTGGAAGTGGCAACAGCAGTGAGCAGTCTGCAGACAGATGATCAGTTGAGTTTAGCCGGAGTGAGGAGCAGGAACCCCAGGAACAGGGGTGTTAGCTGAGCCCCACTCTAGGTCAGGTCCTCCCCCTTTGCAGGGCAGCCGAGGGTCTGATTTTTGCACCAGGGAGAACTGGCAGGTTCCTGCCTCTTGACGTACCTCACACTCAGCAGGGAAGTCGATGGGGTGCTGAGACCTAGGGAACCAAGGATGGGGAAAGAGCTCACAGTGAAAGCCAACCTTTATGGTACCCCCATTCTTTCTCACTGCTGCTGTCTTCCTATATCCTCTTCACCTACTATACAAGAACTTTTTGGTTATGTAGCAAGAGTATTTTCCTTCTAGATCTGCTTCCACCTCCCTGACTTTGTGGCTTGAAGCTTTATCTTTCTCAATCTTGTATGTATCTTCAGGTCTGGCCAGTCTCATACTGCCCTTCTATTCATTCTTACCTCATAGCAATCTAGTCACTCCCTAGCCTTCCCTCAGTCACTCACATCAGAGGCATTCCCTCTGGCCATTCTTGGTTACTCACGTGTCACAGCAGCCCACACCAACAGGATGCAGACAGGTGCAATGGAAACAGTCCTTGCGGAGCCAAGACTCACCCAAAGTGAAATATTTCCCCTCATAGTGACAGGGGGCTAGGGAAGAATGAGAAATGTTAGTAGGCATGGGAGGGGTGACAGCAGACAGTCTCTTCTGGTCTGAGGTTGGAGAGAGTGTTCATATTATCCCTATATTTAATCTTGCTGTCCTGTTTCACAGCTAAAAGGAATCTGAGTAATTTGATTAGCATCATCTGTAAAGCCCTCATCA